CAGGCAGTTTCAATACTTCATTCTTAAACTAAAAAGAAATGCTATAAGCTCACAAATTTCATTTCATTTTTTCCCATCTACGAACACAGGGAGACTACTGTGTCTAGCCTTCCCTATTAGTACATATGTGTTTATAGCTAGTTTGGTGTAGAAAATTGAAATGTGAAAAAGTGAAAGTGTCCAGTTTAGTAAAGTACAGAACCACAGAAAACCACTCATTTCAGAATGCAAAGCTACTGGAAAAAGTAAATTCCTGTGCTAGTTATGTGGCGTCAACAAGAGCTAAATCTTGGTTTGTGAAATTATTGAAATTTGGGGATTATCTGCTTGTACAGCATAGTTCTTATGATTCTGATTACCACTGTGGTAACTAAAGCCATACTACCAGGTGTATTTATTCCAAAGGTGGAGTTTGTTGTTCCACATATTGCAAGTGAACTCTAGTAATCACTCTTCTATTCAACTGTCTCTTTGTGCTGAGGCAACTCCAAGGGCTAAACACACCCTACACATTTATTTATTTTCTGTAAACACCGTGTAAAAGGATGATTCGTTGTCCTCCTTGGCTGAAGTAAATCAGAGCCTATAGGGGTAAAAGAGGAGTTAAAAGACAAATAAAAATTAATGCTTCTTCAACTTATCATGCTTCAGAATCACCTGGGAAATTTATTCCAATCTTCCCCAAACTAAAATTCTCATTTGGTTAATCTTGCAGAGGGTCAAGAAATATCCTTGTTTGTTTGGATTTGGTTTTTTGGATCACACATGGCAGTACTCTGAACTTACTTCAGGTTCTGTGCTCAAGGATCACTCCTGCCAGGGTTCAGGGGACTGTATGGGGTGTCAAGAAATCAAAACTGGACTTATCATGTGCAAACAAAGCACCCTACCTACTGTGCTATCTCTACAATTCCCAAGAAATATGAATTTTTATATAACTCCAAATAGTTCTGATGTGAGTGCTTTAAGAAATACAGCTTAAGAATTCATAGACTAGATACTATTTGCAACTCTCTCCTTTTACAGAATATAAATAAAAATGGAAAAAGTTAAGGAAGTGTTTGAATGGATTCTCATACATATTGGCTGGAGTTATGGGAAAACTTATCTGAACTACAAGGAACATGACTTTGAAATGCAGACTTATGTGGGCCAGAGAGATAGTACAATGGGTAAGGTGCTAGTCTTGCACACAGTCAACCCAAGTTTGATCCCCAGCATCTCATATAGTTGTTGATCCCTGTCATGAGTGATCTTTGAGCACAGAACCAGGAGTAAGTCCTGAGTACCACAGGCTGTGGGTCCCCCAAATGCAGATTTTGGACAATGTCCTGATGCCTAATAGGTAAATTTCTTTGAGGAGTGATATCTTCACTATAGGACATCAAAGAGATTTTAGACACACAAAAGTTTGAAACCACAGAATTGTTTGCCCTCTGCATATTTTATGATTAGCTTATTTTTCATTATTTCCTAATAAATATTATTTCAGGAATATTTTATCAACACTTCAAATTTTCACATTAGAAGTAAGTAAATTATTAATAGAACATTGACTAGTTATCATAGAAGGCAACTAAAACAGAGTGAACTAAAGCTGCTGAAAGACTAAATTTTTTTTTCAAGGTAAATGGTGAATATATTTTTATTTTAGACTGATGCAAATAATTCATTTTGGGAGAAATTACAGTGAGATCCTAAACTCTAGAGACACACAAAAATTATTCTGTTTTTTAAATTATTAAATGAATGTTATAATAGTTTGAAATAAGTGTAAAGTCATAATGTGACAATCGTATGACACACAAGACATTTGACATGACATTTAATTGTGTGTGGGATTATATTAATTGTCTTCTTGATTTAAATATACTACGAATCAGATCAAATCATTTCACTTTAGGGATTTGTAATAAACATTCTTCCACTTGAATTGTATAGGGATGTTTCTAGATTTTTGCACAGAATCAGGTGTGAGAAGTCTGGCTTAGAGGCTTAGAGGTTCAATTATATTCCCACGTGGCTATCTTAGTAGGAAAGCTGGCATATTAGGAAAAGTGAGATAAGATCTTCTCATTCTGCACCTCTTTGTGCACTTTTTAGAGAAAAGAATGGCGGATATAAAACCAGTATTTAAAATCACAATTTATGCAAATTTAAGTTTATTCTACCATGAGAATTTATTATGAGTATAACAATGCCAATTTTATTGAGTACTTACAAAGTTCCAGGCACTGTGCTACGCAATTACATAAATGATATTATTGAATAACCACAACATCCAATTAAGATCATCTCCCTTATAGTTAGCTGGAGACTGAGCACCAGATATTTAGGACCCATGTCTTTCGGTACTTTTCTCTACTTGATTTAAAACTCAGGCTTTGAAATAGATTAGCATGTGTATTTAACTTCGAGGTATATAACTACACTTATGAGTAAATGTGGATCATGAAAAAAAAATTTCATATGCCTGGCTGAAATACACACCACTGAATATTTTATTCTATTGTAAAACGTGGGGTCAGGAAAGAATAACATCCCAGTCTTTCTCAAATTAATGAAAGTATAATCCATCCATCATTTATCTGACCACTCCATAGCTAATACCACAACTGTGATTTTATGTGCCTTATACTGTACTTATGTTGTCATTGGAAATTGGTACTGACCAGATGTGGTTTTCAAGAACACATAATTAGCTTGCTATTCTAGCTTATAGTAAGAAATCGTGTTCTATTTCTTTGTCTGTCACCAGCCCTTTCAATTAATTTTCTACATCAAAAACATACTTTACAACTGAGTAAGTTTTCCTTAATTTCCTTACCATGTTTGTTTATTTGAAACAAGTTTGAGCTACTGAGAGAAATGACTGATAAGATTAGAGAGAAAGTATGGGGGTGAGACTCACGCCTCGCACTCAGCTGACCCTGATTTGATCCCTGTCACCATATATCATGCTTCATACAGTACCAGGGTCAATCACGCAGCACAAAGTGAGGGGTAATTGCTAAGCAGAGCTAGGTGTGGGCCCCAAAACCAAAAACAAAGAAACAAGAAGAAATACAACCGATGACAGGTGAAAGTATTCTTTCCCTTGACATTCTTTTGTTTGTTTGTTTCTTGAACTTTGGATCATACCTGGTTGTACTCAACACTTATCCCTGTCTCTGTGCTTAGGGATCACTCCAGGCAATGCTCAAGGGGATCAAACCCACATGCAGAGCAATCATCCTACCCGCTGTACTGTCTTTCCAGCTCCACCTTCACAGTATTTGAACTTACATTGCCCATGTTTATCAGATTTAGAGAGAAAATTTCTTCCGAGTGAAGGTGCTTGAACATGCATGGAGGATGTATTACTTTCAACATTAAACACATGTGTTGCACTCAAAAACTTTCTGCTGGATATTCAGGGTAGAGAGTTTCTGGACATTCATGATAAGTTCCATAAAGAATTGCATTTAATTGGAAGGCCCTACTTTCTTTGCTACCTTATTTTTTTTACAAGAAAGGATCTAATAGTTTGTTTTCAACACAAATGGGTTTACCACTTGATTCTCCAAGTAAAGAGTGGAGAAAAGATCTGTCTCCTGTCTCCAGCTCTCGTTCACTATTAGAGACTCAGAGACTAATTAGCACCCAGCGTTTCTGCATTGAGAAGCATGGCCATTTGCAATTCTTACTCTTCTGTTCAAGAGTACTTTCTTATAGTAAATGAATTAAACAAGAAACCTCTACAGAATAGCTGGAAGGCATGCTATTTAAAAAATTTATCTCTTCCATCTAGTGTTAGGACACCTCATCCCGATTGTCAGAGTCCAAGATATCTTCAATTTGAAAAAGAAATACATGTTTTCTGTTAAGTCCTTATGACTATTCTATATTCTCTAGTGACAGCAAGGACACTAGATTTCTCACTGAGTCTTGCCCTGCCACAGAGGCAGGGTTGGGTGGGGGTGGGAGGGATACTGGGACCCGTGGTGGTGGAAAATGGGCACTAGTGGAGGGATGGGTATTTGATCATTGTATAATTGAAACCCAAGTACAAAAATTTGTAAATCTGCAACTGTACCTCATGGTGTTTCACTAATAAAAATTAAAAAAAATTAAAGGGATTACTTTAGTTCTGAAATTACAAGCTGTTGTTTCAGACCAAATATGTTTCCGTGTGTTTAGATTGATTTGTCTTTGCCAGTCTCTCATTTTGCCAATGGAGACCCATGCCAAAATGAGAGATAACAAAAATATATGTAAACTTTGAGCTTCTCTTTAAAAAATATATCAATAGTGGGGGTAAATTAGTCACAAAGATCAAGATGCAACTGAGTAGAAGTTGCTTTCATCTAAAGAAATAGATGCTCCTCAATGACTTGCAAGTATGCCTTTATTTTTCACCCCCCTTCTTACGATAGTTTTAAAATATTTGGAGTAAAGACACACTTCTCTTTAGTAATCTCCCTGTACATATGGGTTGTAGGTAGAGAGCAGCCATAATAGGATCCGACTTTGTTCTGTATGGTGTGTTGAATGGAACATCCAATTTCAGAATCCTGAATGAGAAAGAATGATTCATGCAGGAAATTCTAACCTAAATCCCTAACAGTACACAATTCTTTAAGCTGTCATTTCTAAAATCAGTATTAGATTTCTGTGTCAATTCCATTTCACTTGAAACATTTTACTCTCTTCTGGTCTTTTCTCTGGTCTCCCCTGATGTGCTTCAGAAACCATTTAGAGAGATACCTGGGATTGCTAATATCTAACCAAATCTTGATTTCCTGAAATAGTGTATTCCACATATGAATTCAAACTACACGAAAGGCAGAAAGGAAAGAGGGAGATAAAAATGTGTTAGTACAAATGAAATGACATAAAAATATAACTTTATTGATGCTGATCTGACAACTTGAGGCAGCTTAGAGAACACTAGTTACATTGCAACAAACAACACCATGTAACCCTGTGTAGGCCTGTGGTTTTTTCAGGGAAAGTAAACATGTAGTTGATTTTCTGTTCAGCTCAGTCCTACAACTTCCACCAGAATTAATTCCTTTCCATAACACTCCATTGGGATATGCAGAATCTTAAATTGTCATAGCCCAAGTACACCTAGTTGACTTGGTTGATCAAAAAAATCAAAGGAAAACTCACATTTAAATTCTTTACTCAGATTTAAACCAATAGGCAAAATAAAGGATCAGACTTTAAGCAACTATCACATACTGACCTTCTAGGGCCCGAGAAGAGTGTGCTCTTCTGAGGCCATTAGAGGCAATAATTCTGGATTCTTGTCCGCCTGGTCTTTGTCTCCTAGAAATAAATAGTTTTTAAAAAATATCAATAAAAGGGGACACATTCTCAAAGTCCATTAGGTGATAAACATATCAATTATTCCCATAAGAGGGCTTGGCAGAGTTAACAGACACCACCCACCACGCATAACAATTATAGGATATAAAAGTCATTGTTATTGGATAAATCCGTGAAATGATGAAAAGCAAGAGCTGAGATTTGGGGAGCAGGGGTTTCAAATCTGGTGCCGTTTTGTATCCATTGAGTTTCTGATTCTTGGGGAACAGGCTTACAGAGATGTGTCTCCCACTGGGGCTGGGTTTGCATCTCTGCCCGGTTCTTGCTCCTGAGCTGACCCTCTCCTTCACAGTAGGTGACACAGCAGCGACAAGCCGCAGAGGGCTTGCCTCTGTGCTTGGACATTGTGCCCGGGGCTGGAGAGGCACCAGTGCCCAGGCCCGAGCTCTGGAGTTCAGTGGGCTCTTTCAAATGGCTTCTCCTCCTTTGGACATGGTCCAGGCTGATGTCAGACTGGGAAGAGCAGCTCTCGTTCCAGCCCGAGCTGGCACTCAGACTTCTCAGGGGAAGAGCCAGCCTCAACGCTTTCCAGAATTTAGAGCCCGAGTGTTTGGACTTCTCTCCCTTCCAGCTCACAAATGACACGGACTCCTTCAGCTGCAAGATGCCTGGGTGTGGGTGCTCAAGGGGGCGATATTCGACCACGATGAGTTTGGTAGCGATGGAGTTTTGGCACATGACACCCAGTTTAAACTCCAACATGCTGATACTCTTTTCTGTCACATAGTCTGGGCTCAGTACAACAATCATCCTTCTGCTCCTCTGGATGAAGTCAAAAACTGCTTCCACTGTATCTACAAGAAAACGGAAAGATAGGACAATGCCTAGTGAAAACTTATAGGAGATCTCTTCCATTCTCGGTCCATTCTACCAAGAATGGGCGATGGTGAAACATCTGAGGATATAGGATATCAGTGTTACATAATACACCAAGAAGTCTCATTTCTACCACTTACCGATGGGTGATAAACACCTGCTACTTACAAAAGTGAGGAGTTCACTACCACGGAAACTACATAATTTCAGCTTTGCTTGCAATTTTTTTGTTGCTTTTGTTTTGAAAGATTCTTTTTATCCTATCTGAAAACTCAAAGTTGACATCTACAAATATTTGTAATACTTCCTAACTACCATGGTCTCACTGTATTTTTTCCTCAAAATGTACATTGTTACTTCTGTGTTTTATCCGATTTCTTATATGGTGTTCAATCACATCTATTGTCCAGTGTTATTCATTTTCTTCTTAATACCATTGAGTTTATACATGTGTCTCCTAAGAATATAATATAGAACAGGACCAGACACGATGCTTCAGGAATAAACTAATAAGAAAAAAACAGTAGAAACATATCACCTCCTAGTCTCTGTGCGTTTATAACCTGGTTCTTAAATTTTTCAGATATATGCCAGTCATACCATTGATATTTTCAATCAAAATTCCCTTTTGCTGTTACGTGTGTGTGTGTGTGTGTGTGTGTGTGTGTGTGTGTTTATCAAGACCATGTCTAAATATCTGCTGTAGAAGCAACAGCAAAAGTAATGGCAAAACACTCACTTTTAAAGTTTGGACTGATTCCAGTGAAAGTACTTAAGATAAATGTGATACCTAACTCACTGTGAGGTTGAAGAGTTTAAACAATAGGATTCCAGATATGTAATTCACAGTCATTGACAAGTCTGAAGACAAGTGCTGAAGACAGACCATGAGGTCAAACTACCTAAACATTTTGAGCCAAGGCATGACAGTGATGAAGACTTCCCAGTCTGCGAGAACAAATGGGAAGTTTACAGGAGTTGGATTATTATAAAGTTGACATAAAACGAAGATGCTCTGCTTCGCTCGGTTATTTTTTCAATTAGTGAATTTCACATGAATTTTTAGAGAATTGAATAAGACATGTGCTCAATTTTTTATGAACTTTTGACTGGTTTTTAAAAAAGAGTGGTGCACTATAGAATTTTTTGTTTAAATGTTCAAAAATAAACTGAAATGTTCACTAATATGCAGAATGTATGTGTATTTCACTTGAAAATAATCACCTTAGGAAATATATGTTCTGTCTAAGGAGGATTTCCCTGTTGAAAATAAAACACCATTCCATATCCTCCATAGAAAATTATTTTTAGGACCAGAGAAATAATACAGTGGGTAAAGAGCTTGCCTTGCATGTGACCCGCTTGGGTTTAATCCTTGGTAATCACATATAGTTCCCCCCAAAATGAGTATAGACAGAGTAAGCCTGGAACACTGTGAAACAAAAACATCAACAAACAAATAAACAAAAATTTAAAGCCTTAGAGGTTTTTTACTTTTTAAAAAATTACTAGTACTCAGGCTGGAAGTGGAGATTTGAACTGAAAGACGGTGATATTAAATTAATTTTAATTATGAAATTACAAACACTGAGACATGAATGTGGGAAATGATTCTTAGATGGAGATTGTGCTATATCTGAGAATCATCATCTAACCTTTTGAATTAAACTGCTTAGTTTATGGAATACTTATTTTATCTTCTTTTGTCACAATATTTGAGGGCATGAACTATTACCATTTCTAATGTTGATTATTGTGTGGAAGGGGAATATAAACTAGGTTTGTCTGTCTCAAATATTGGAGACTGGTTCTGGTGATAAGTGTTCCTATGAAAAACAAATTTAACTTGAAGTCACATTTTCTGATGTAGAATTTGTCAATACTATTCAGATTGGTCCTGCCTTGAATAGTCATAATCTCCCAAAAATTGGCTTAGAAAACTTGAATTATAATCTTGTTGTTTGCCTAGTTTACTGGTGTGTGGAAGATCAGCAAGTATTTTTCTCCTTTCTTTTCTCTTGCTTTCTTAAAATTTGAAGTAACAATAAAAAAAATTGAGAGATGAGTTGCTGAATGTGTTTCTTCCATTATGCTGTGAATTTACTATGTCAAAGGCAGTGGTACTAATAGGTATTTGAAGAAAATGTCAAGTTTTAACCAAGTTTAATTGGTAATGACCAGTAATAATCAGTCATAATATTAAACTACTTTTATTGAAATGGTTAATAATAAAACAAATAATCACCTCTATGTATAAGAAACTCATTTCATTGTTCAGTTTCAAGCAACTTCAGACTACTCACCACTAACTGATGCACAAAGTATAATTCAAAATCAGCAAGACCATCAAATTTCTGATTGCACATCTTTAGGAAAAGGTATATACCAGTTTGTGATATGTAGCATGGGTCACTTAAGGTTTTTTCTTAATTGAATAGAAATCATTTTCATAGCTCTGACACACTAAGTCTACTCTATGAAGACTAGTTTGAAAAAAATTGGGAGGCAGTGGGAGGAGGTGTGGGGGTACAGTGCTCTGGGGATACTCCTGGCTCTGTGCTTTGGAGTGACCCTTGGGGTGTTTGGGGAAACAGTAAGCTATGATAGGGATTTAAAAGGAGTTATCCACATGCATAGTAATTACCTTAAATTATGTAATCTGGTCCCTTAAATAAAATTATTCAGTAGGAATTTTTTTAAACTTAACCAGTTCTGTTACAGGGTCCTAATATATTTTCTTATAACAAATAAATAAGGATTTTTTAAAAACAAAGCATCCCAGTTAGGTTGGATTTGAAATTAACTCAAAAGCAAATGCATTTACAAATAACTGTCACTGATATATTTAAAACTTGTGGAAAAAATAATTTTTAATTGAAACTAACATCTATCTAAAGATGGTAAGTCTATAAAAAGGTGATTTCTGTAAGCAGCTCCAGTTCCCAGTTAAGCAAAAAGGAGTCAGGTCTATGTGTTTGTTTTGAAATATTTTCTCTCTTTCACTCTCTCTTCCTTTTCTCTTTCGCTGTCTCTCGATTCACACACATACACGTACCACACTAAATGTACATTAATTAACACTTTTACTCACATGGAAAACCATATTGACATGAAATTCCCAGTTTTTGCAGATTTCTCAGATTTGTCAGAGAAATTAATGTAACCTATAACATTTCTTTCACAAGTGCATAATTGTTTTTTATTCTCTTCTTATACCCAAACATGACATAAAAGACAAAACACATGCACAAAATAAAATTCAAAGTTGAAAATAAATGGTTTATTTTTAAAATAAACAAATTTACAAATCAAATGCAAAATGAAAAATACAAAAACTTATGAATAAAATAAAATATAATCTTAAAATATTAAAACCAATGAGAAGAAAATGGAAAATTAACAAGTGGTGTGATGCTTTTGCTTTCAGTACAACGAAGTGCTTGTTTATTAGACACCTAGGACATCATTTAAATTATAACACAGAAAATTAAGTCAATCCTCTATGATTGCTTAATTAGACACTATATATTATTTTTTGTTAAATTGGATGCACGGGGATTTTATATCATATATCTAACATCTTTAAGGTTTTTTTTATAAACATTAGAGACTTTTAATATTAGAGAGCACTTTCTTCTTACTCAGTATATTGTGTTTTTATTCTCCCTCAATTATTCTTTTTCCTTAAATATTGGACACCTTTTTGGATATAAAAAATATCTTGACATAAAACTATAAGTTGAAGCATATCAGTTGGAGTTGAAATAAGTTTTACCAATTTGAAAAGTTCACTACCCAAAACAGAAATATGAAGATTAAAAAATATATCAAAAACATTTCTAGGGATACTCAAAAACATGTAGGAAAAATGTGGAATCCAAAAGTGGAAGAAGAATGAGGCATTGTCTAGAGAATGTTTTTCCTGTGTTGCAACGGTCTCTATCTGAAACTCATTCAAAAATTGATATTTTAAGTTTAACTGGAGTCAGCTCTCTTCTGATCTTGTGAGTGAAGGGTTAACAAATGAAGCAAGCTATGATTTGTAATGAGAAAAAAACATTCGGAAGGCTAAGAATAATAATTACATCCAAGAGTGACTCCATACCAGAATTTTATAGTTAAGAATTCAAGGAGCTTTAATCAATAACTTCTCTATGGAGAAATGACATATACTGCTGAAGGTCACGTAAGCGTAGAAGATAATTTTAAAATTGGTTATCAACACTCATTCTGTTTAGATAAGGGTTTCTGAATCATGTTGCAATTCATAAAGAATGGATAACCACGATCATTTTTAGGTATTTACTTTTATTACTCAACATATTAAGTATGATTCTCTCTCTATAGTACCTGAGAATTGATTTTAATTTAGCTTAGTTTTTAATTGCTTGTGCACGGCACATGTTCGATAATCAGTTAAGGCCAGATTACTGGCTACGACTAATAGTGGCCATGTTGCTCTCTGCAAACCAACTTCCACTGCAACCAGATCAACTGTAGCAGCAGTAAATAATGTATATGAATTTAAGAATGGTCACTAACAACTACCATTTTGTAGCTGTAAGTTCAGAAGCATTACTAGTGTACACAAAACATACATAAGCATTACAGTGAAAACAGGGCAAGAGTTACAGGCTCATATCATATTGCAATTCTGTGGTTCATAACATTGTGACAATGACCAAATTTAAATCATATGTATATGTATGCATACACATATATTTTATACTTGCATAACATATGTGTATATACATATATAACATTGGCAGCATATCATAAATTCTATATATGTATATATAACCACACATATATAATCCACCTGTATATGTGTATATGTTTATATACATATGTAATATAATTCATATGTGTGCATATATATTAATATGTATGCAACATATATATTCACCAGTCTATAAATTCTGGGCTTAGTTTTCACATTTCCAAGTCTTAAGAACAGTAAAATCTTTCTCACAACAAGTTTCTTTAAAAGTGACTCTTTAAGTTGACTTAGAGTGAGTGTGTTAATTGTTCCAGTGAACAAAACATAGAATATACAGGGTTTCCAGTTAATTCTCACAGGATATTAATGCTGAAAGCAACTTGAAGGTCACATCTTTGTGGAGGAAGTTGAACTTTCATACTTACAAGGGGAAAAACAGAAACAAGTGAGGAGAAACCACTTTTTTTTTTTTTGCTTTTTTTTTTGCGGGTCACACCCAGGCGATGCACAGAGGTTATTCCTGGCTCATGCACTCAGGAATTACTCCTGGTGGTGCTCGGGGGACCATATGGAATGCTTGGAATGGAACCCGGATCGGCTGCATGCGAGGCAAACATCCTACCTGCTGTGCTATCGCTCCAACCCTGAAACTATTTTCTTAATAGCCACACTAGAAAGACTGAGATTAAAAGATACATCATCCAACCCTCCAGAATGCAGATGTCCTTTTCTGTTAGCACCTTTAAGAGAAGCTCCTCCTGGACCAAACCAAGTATGAAGCCACTTGCAAAATCTGAATAACTGTACAAGGTATAATATATAAGGAAATAGAATAAATAAGGGCCAATATTCAGGAGTTTATTGTGATCAAAATTCTGATCCAATTTTTCCAAGTTGACAAATATTGCATCAACTACCTGAGGTAAAGGGTAGGAGAGATACAGTAGGAATGCACACAACCCCTTAAATCAATTTAAAGAAAAATTTTTAGATATGTTACTGGTTGGTGAAAAGCCTAAGTAAGTGTGAATCTTGCTGTGATTGGGCTATCAAACAGTCGAATGAGCAAAGATTTCTTTAATATGCCGCTAAAAGAATTCTAGTCATGGTTATGTTCTTAATGGATGAGTAAAAATACAAAAAAAGAAACCCATACTTGAAAACATATATTAACCCATTAGCATACTGGTGATTTTAAATACACAGTAAAATCTGTAACAATTAGATTTCTACCCTCACCCTGTCCCCCAAACAAAGAACAGAGATGAACAAAGACACAGAGACAATAATAGAAGATGCTTTAAAAAAAAAGTCACATTAACCAAGACTTTGCCTGCAAAGAAGCCAGTGACTTAAATGGGTGCTAATTGTGCCAGTATTCTTCTAAACCATTTAGTATTGCCTGAAGATGGTGAACACTGGTCATACCATCACCCTGAATTTATTCCTACAAAGAGGCTTCACTGGAATACTGGAATATATGTTGTGTTTTTTTTTTTTTCCTGTGAAGCAATTATTTGGGAATAAATAAGGAAGAACTCTTTTTTCCTGAAGTACCCTTGGTCGTTTTACTCCTTGCATTGTCCCTTTCATACATTTTTCAGGGATGAATACGACAGACCCTGCTCACCACCTCTAGACCACCTGGAACTTTTCTTCACTGGCATGGCCACCTGCAGCTGCTTCCAGAACCTGCCCTGTGGGTACTTGGATTTCTCCCCTCTCCATTTAATGACCGTGAGCACCGTCTTAGCCCTCTTCAGCTCTTTCACCTTCATTTCCTTCACCGCTTTGTACTGTACTAAAATGACGTTGATGTTGCCCTGAGAGGCCATGTTTTCTAGGCCGGCCTTGAGCTCCAGGAGAGCTTGGGTTCCCTGGAGCACGTAGTTGGGGCTTAGAACAACCAGGAGGCGTCTGCTTTTCTGAATGAAGCTCAAGGTCTCATCTGTGACAACTGAGAAAGAAAACACCATGGGGGTTAGTGTTGGCTCAGACCTACCCCAAAGCATGAAGCCGAAGGACCAAGTGTATGGAACTTAGGGCTACAGCCTGAAAACAGAGGTGATGTTTCCCAAGAACATTTTGAACAACTTCATCTTTAAATGCAACCTGTCTGATGACTAAACTGCATTTCTTCGGCCAAAAAAAAAAATGTTGAGTTCACCCTAAAAATAAGTCCAATAAGAAGGGGATGGGTTCCATCTCTGGCACTGAGAAAAATTCCAAAGAAGCTTGGAGCTGAAATGTACTTTGAAAAAAAAAATCTTGTTCTCTAAAAGCATTATTAAAAACATGAAGGAAGGTTGTATTAAAGAGGTAGGCTGAGGCATTGGGGAGTTGTGGATGGGAATCTAGGGACATTGGTGGTGGGAAATATACACCAATGTCCGGGTGGAGGTACGGGTGTTGGAACATTGTATGACTCAAATCAAACCATGAACAGCTTTGTAACCATGTATCTTAGGGTGATTCAATAAAAATAAATTTAAAAAAATTCTTTCAATAGTGTTGCATTTTGTAACCCAACCAAATCAGTGCCAGAGTTATAGCTTCCCAAATGTACATACATATCAATTCTCTAGTGCCAGTGGAAATTCAAAAAGATTCCTGTGTTTTAGAATACAGATTCTCTATATTCTAGAGTCCTGTTGCGTGACCAGACATCTCCCAAATTCAGACAGTTATCACTATATCCTTGGAAGAGGAACACAAAAACTAGTTAACTGATCAGAGCATTGGCTGACACCATATTCTCCTCTCAGCTCCTATTCTGCTTTCTGCTCTGGAGACTAAATTACTCTCTCCTTAAACTCCTATCATTCCTACGAAGCCATGATTTTTGGCAGCTGCTAGCTAACATGTTTGCCTTCACTAACAGGAAAAGACTTTCTTTAGGTCACAATGGAAGAAAGGCAATGAAAATGGAAATAACAGTGTGATTTTATTCTGTTGTCAATTGTTCTGATTAGTTTCTGTCACTAAATTTTTGAGACTAATCCATCTCTACCAGCTTGCTTCCTGAGGACTGGATGATACTTTACCTGGGTTTCAGAAAGTAGCTAATTCTAGAAAAACATAATGTGAAAAGATATAATCGGTTTTCTATTCTTCTCAAGCAGTTTTTTTTTTTTAATAGAGGGAGAATTCTGTGGGGTGAGCATTTTCTTCACAGGTATGGAGGGAGAGGCAGTGAGGGGAGAAATACAAATCACATGTGAAATCCAGCTGGGAAAATAGTCTGCTCCAAGCAGCAACCTATTTGGAAGCTGACTACACTTGAACATAGAAAAAAATCCAGAATGAAAGACCAGCAGGAAGAACTTCAAGGAGATGCAAAGATCATAAGGATCAAACATCAAAATAATGATAGCGCATATCATTATTTTGATGTTGATGTAGTATCTACAACTTGGTTCTTAAAAACAACTATTCACACCACTAGGAGGGTTTATGTTGTTGTTGTTAGGCTATATACATGTATAATTTTCACAGAGGAGTAAATATTTCTTGAATAAGTAAGTGAATAAATGATTTAGGATTTTAAGCTTTAAAAAAGAGCTTTAAATTGATCTTTTTTTCATGGTAAAATTATTTTTTTTCCGGAAAACTATACGGAAGGAGGTATGTAGTGTAGAAAACAAGCATGATGGGAAATGATTGTAAAGATGAAATGAGTTGCATGCTAATTCAAAATGAGAATAAAATTTTAAGTCTAATTTATATTTCAAATGCACATGTATTTTAAAAAGTGAGATAATTAGTGTAAAGGGAGTTTTACGTTATATTTTGTTAGTTCACAGAGATTTTTAGATAATAATTACTTTGTCATGTTGAAAATTAAGAGACAAAACATAATTTGGGCACATAAAGTTTAGCAGTAGGTTTAAGAATGCTGTTATACCGAGATAAATACCAGGAGATTCACTCCTGGGCTTGGACGCCAGCCGCACATGCCAGGGGAAAAAGCAGCTCAGATAGAGAAGGGAGCACCAAATAAAAGTGTTGGGAGGATCCTCCCAGGATGGGAGATGCATGCTGAAAGTAGACTATAGACCAAACATGATTGCCACTCAAGGCAAATCACAGCACCCAAACGGAGAGAAAGAACAAAAGAAAATGCCCTGCCACAGAGGCAGGATGGGATGGGGGGGATGGGGAACGGGAGGGATACTGGGACCCGTGGTGGTGGAAAATGGGCACTGGTGGAGGGATGGGTACTCGATCATTGTATAATTAAAAACCCAAGCACAAAAATTTGTAAGTCTACAACTGTACCTCATGGTGTTTCACTAATAAAAATTAGTGGGCTGGAGTAATAGCACAGCGGTAGGGCGTTCGCCTTACAAGCAGCCAACATGGCTGACCCGAGTTCGATTCCTCCGCCCCTCTTGGAGAGCCCGGCAACCTACCGAGAGTATTCAATATGCCAATAAAAATTAAAAAAATAAATAAAAATCCAATTAGGAAAAAAAGAATACTATTATGTATTAATTAAAATGAATTCAAATGGTCAATTACTTTGTGTGTTATTATATAGACCTGAAAATTCGAAATTGAATTTTATTTTAAAGTATTCAAAAATTATGGTTTTAAATATTCTACTATAAAATGCCACCCTCTATAAAAAATTGTTTTTAATCATAAATGCACTAGCTGTTAGAAAGAAACAGAACCAAAGAAAGTGGTGGTAGTTTGGTTATTAGTAGCTTGCTAGAAAACAAAAATAAAGAAAAAGAAATACTGTTTTGGTTGTGTGTGTGTGTGTGTGTGTGTGTGTGTGTGTGTGTGTGTTTTGGGGGCAAACACGGAACTGTTCACAATTCACTCCTGGCTCTGCTCTCAGGAATCATTCTTGACAGTCTTTCAAAACCACACTGAGTGCTGGGAATTGAACTCCAGTTGATCTCATGCAAGGCAATCATCCTAGTTATAATATCCCTCTCCCTCGGGGAAATATAATTTATTATCGGTGGCTAAAGACCCACTTTATGAGTCAACAAATAAGGTTTGGTAAAATTGAGTAAACCTCTGTAAACATTTTCTTTAAACTTAGTCTTTGTTAAGCAATTTTAGACAAATTAATGTTGAGTAAAACTAAAACACCTAAATTCAACAAGACATTTAAAGCTAAGCTATATCTAAGACAGCATAATCCACTATGAATTAAATGTTTCTGACAGTTCTTAAGACTTAAAGTGGAGAATATTTTAACATCACATACTGCAGTAGGATAGTAGATTTCTTAAAATGTTTTATTCCTAGAGAAGTGTCTGTCTATTGCATCAAACTGTTAGATAATCAGTATACCCAAAGATATCAACAGAAAGCAGTTACATAATTCTCATACGTGATGCATAGCTAAAGATCCCCCTGCCTTCAGCATAACATCGTTTATACTCAGTTGAGATACCTACTTCCCCCAGGAAGACTGTCTCTGTCAAAGATGCACAATTTGTAGCCAAATTCATTCTCCAAAACTCCACGGAGAGTCAATAATACGAATTCTTCTTCTTCAGCATTCCTTGCATAGGATACATAAATATCATATTCCTTTCCATCTAGACAAAGAACACAGATTCAAATGAGTTAGGAAAGTTTCTTAAAAGAATGATATATTTGTCCTTTAGTCAAGCTAAGGCAAAACCTTAAACCTAAAATTTGCATATTAGTCGATTTCATTGTTTCATATACATACTTTCTATAGATTTCTGTGTGATCTGACACTGTGTTCAGGCAAAATGGCTACTTCAAGGAATAATTAAGATGTAATTGCATGGGACTGGAGAGATAGTACAGGGGGTAGGGTGTTTGCCTTGCATGTGTCTGGCACAGAATCTATCCCTAACATCCCACAGTCTCCTGAGCACTGCCAAAAGTAATTCTGAGTGCAAAACCAGAAGTAACTACTGAGCATCATCGGGTGTGACCCAAAAAACAAAAAAAAAACAAAAACAAAAGGTGTAATTGCAAATTTGATGTAAAGTGCCTTCTACACATTTATTTTACATAAATTTTTTATAATAGAGATGAGTGAGCTTTAGCCTATTCAACTTTTAATGAACAATTCTAGAAGCAAAATGTCAATCACAGCAGTTGACAGTTAATTCGATGCAAAGAACCAGAGAAAGAGAGCTCAAGGGCCGAGTGTGTGTTTTCCATGTTTTCATGTTTCATTCTTGTTACCAGGGAAATTTGTACTAGGGGTGCAGTGCTTCTAATATTTATTATGTGTAAGAAATCACTAGAAAATATTGATAAAATAATAAAATAAAGGCCCTCCCGTTGATCATCGATTTGCTAGAGCGGGCCCAGTAACGTCTCCATTGGAGACTTTGTTGTTACTGTGTCTGGCATATTGAATACGTCACAGGGAGCTTGCCAGGCTCTGCTATGCGGGCGAGATACTCTCGGTAGCTTGCCGGGCTCTCCGAGAGAGGCAGAGGAATCAAACTCGGGTTGGCCATGTCGGCCGCTTTTAAGGCGAACGCCCTATCTGCTGTGCTATCGCTCCAGCTCAGGTAAAGGCCCTCCTGTTGATCATCGATTTGCTCGAGCGGGCCCAGTAACGTCTCCATTGGAGACTTTGTTGTTACTGTGTCTGGCATATCGAATACGTCACGGGGAGCTTGCCAGGCTCTGCCGTGCGGGCGAGATACTCTCGGTAGCTTGCCGGGCTCTCCGAGAGGGGCAGAGGAATCAAACTCGGGTTGGCCATGTTGGCTGCGTGCAAGGCAAACGCCCTTCCGCTGTGTTATCGCTCCATCCCCATTGATAAAATGTAGACTAAAGTACAGAGAAGGATTTACTAAGAACTAAGATATTCTTTTAATAAGTTTCCAGATGACGCTTATGCTGATGGTTTACAGATGACATTTGCATACACAGAATTTGCTGCTATATTGCAACTTGTACAGTGCAGTAAAGCAGCTCCAGTTACATGTGTCTACTGAATAATCAAACAGCCTGAATTGAGGTGTACTCAAAACAATAATAAAGCACACCCTGAATTTTGAAAGTTTCAATAACAAAAACAGCCAAATACATTTCTATTAATCATTTCATACGAATTACATGCCCAAATAAAAATATGCAAATGGAATTAAATAAGATATTAAATTATTTTCATTTTTCCTTTCTTAATATGACAACTCATAAATTTTAATTTGCATAGAGAGGCCACCTTGCATTCATATTTTAGCAGTCCTAATCTAAATTGCATATTGAATCAATGAAAAGGAATAATACAAATTAAAAACATTTTTATTTTTTTGGAGGGGAGGGGCATAGCCCACACCATGCCATGCTCAATTTACTCCTGGCTGGGCATGTGCAAAGCAAGAGCCTTACCCCACTGTACTAATCTGGAGCCTAAGAAAGATTCTTCAACAGTATTTGATCATTGCATAATTGAAACCCAAGCACAAAAATTTGTAAGTCTGCAACTGTACCTCATGATGTCTCACTAATAAAAATTTAAAAAAAGTATTTTGATTGAATCTTCTAACTAATCCAGGTTTGATCATATTTTCTAAAGATTACAGAATATTACAGCATATTTCCTTTACTCACCTAGAATAGTTTCATCTGTCCCAAAGTGAGCCCGATAAAATAGGACCATCTCCAGCCAATAAACATGGTAAATAACAATGAGAATCACTACCAGCAGGACTGTAGCCCCAAAACCACATGCCAATTCCACTGTGTATCTTGGAGCTATGACTGAAATAACAAAGAAACAAAATTGATTTCTACCACATGATCACAGTCAATGATTAACCTGCATGAAGCTGGGCGAGTCAAGCAGATGAGCCACACATCAGACATATATGAACAAGCAAAGGTAACACGGTAAGGTATACGTAAGTACTTTATTTTACTGTTAATAGTGCCCCATTTACCTTAATATTTTTAGCATGCATCAAAAATGACATTTTTAGCTCTTTGATGATTAGAATATATTTTGAAAATCAAAACTAAACCTTGGCTTTGGAAACGATTTGGGTCACTTAATTCTATTCGCAGTCCGATATTTGAATTGCCACAAAAGTACTTTTTGAAAGTGTAAATTGATTCTCAGTCAATCTCTTGTGATTATTGGACTAGCAAAATAATAGAAATTTAATTGTTGTAGTAATTAAATTTATCAAAAATTCTAATGTGCTTCTAGTAGACCTGATTTTACCTTCTCATTTAATGACATATAGAAGAGATTTAATCCCTTTCCTTTTATATCTAGAAATTTATATTGATCTAGAAACTCAAACATCTTATTGTCTCTGGGCTAAAACTCTTAACTTTTACAAAGCATAGTCATTGATGTGTGTGACTGAGCTCTGAATGTATCTTCTAGGTTCAAAGGACTAAACACAATATAAAGACTGAACTGCATTATCCACATATGAACATAGTCTCACGTTGTATATTTATTTTTATTTGATAGGATCTTCTCCTCTTTTATAGACACTTAGCTGTTAAAAGACATGGTCATGTATTTATAAATATGAAATAGAAGAAGCTTAAGTTATGCATTCATTGATTTGCCAATTTCCTATTTGGTTAGCAACATTTAGGGCACAGCGGTGAATAAGACAGAAGGGGTCTCTGCTCATTTATTCTAGTACAAATATTCTAGTGTGGAGAAATAAATAAAAGTAAAAGTCAATTAGTTTTGCATATTGACACTGTTAACAAGAATATAAGCTTAAGAACTATGATGATGGTTATAGGAAAATGTGTATTATGTGGAGAGACAATATTTCTATGACTACTTAGACACTGTGTGCTAAGAGTTTCTGAAGACAATCTATAGATGTATTGCCCTGAAGACTGTGATTATTATTGAGGTGCTCAGTCTTCGAATTGCACATATCTTTCCACAATACTACCATGAAGTTTACTTATTGATTGTGAACTCAAAGAATCTCCCAAGTCTATCCTAAAGAGAAAAAGGTAAGCACCTTGGATCTTGCCTGAAGAACTTGCCTGAAGTTCTCTAAAGTGTAAACTGAAAAGTTTTCATTTAATTTTCCTAAATTGAAGATAATAGTCTGACATAACTAATACAGATTTTGCAGGACATTATTATTATCATGTGCCCTTGTATTTGGTTCACAAGAAACAATGCTTTAAAATAGGAAAACTCAATCATATCAAGATAGAATCTGTATCGCTACAGTTGTTGAAAAGTTACGGAGAACAATTCAGGCCACTGGTGTAAAAACTGCTGTGTCCATGGCAGGAGAAATACTACAGAAGGTAGGGAACTTGCCTTGTATGTGACTGACCTACGTTCAATCCCAAGCCCTGCCAGGAGTGATCCCTGATTGTAGAACTATGAGTAAGCCCTGAGCACCTCAAGGTGTGATCCCAACAACGACAATGACAAAATTTGCCGTGCCCTTATTTCTGTATACATATTATATCAATACACCAAGAAAATTACCATTATATTCTTGGCATTTTCTCATTTATTTTGACACTCTCTAAGCAAACACAGGGACTTTGGGGAAAAGTCCTAACTCAACTAGTATAGGACTTTTAAAAATATCAATATAGGTCTTTTTAATATTCATAATAATTCATTAACTCCTCTTTAGTCCATTCACGGCAATATTATTTCTAGTGGGGGCTTTTAAAAATAATGTGTCACATAATTGCATGTATCCTATTGACAAACTATATTTCCTGGGTCCATGTTGATAAAAGTCTGTAATGATTCTTAATAACTGATTCTTAAAAAATCCCCACAGGTCTGAATTTTTAAATGGCTTGATTCCATATAAGTACTCTAAAATTTTTCTCACATAAAGCTTCACTGGCTTGGGGGGTGGGAGAAATACTGGGATCAGTGGTGGTGGAGAATGGGCACTGGTGGAGGGATGGGTGGGTATTCGATTATTGTATAACTGAAACCCAAGCACAAAAATTTGTAAGTCTACAACTGTACGTCATGGTGTTTCACTAATAAAAAAATAAATAAAATAAAACCAAAAGAAAAAAAAAAGGAAAAATAACAGTTTAAGATCAGTACACATTTTGCATGTCCCAGCTGCAAGCTCTATAGTTTTTGACACAAAATGTTTACTCTAGGGACCGGATCGATAGTACAGGGGGGTAGGGCAATTGCCTTGCATGCGGCCGACTGGGGTTCAATCCCCAGCATCCCATATGGTCCCCCATGCACCGCCAGGAGTAATTCCTGAGTGCAGAACCAGGAGTGACACCTGAGCATTGCTGGGTATGACCCAAAAAAAAATGTTTATTCTAATGCAATCCCAGGCCAAAAGGTTCCTAACCAAGAAGAAATAGTTACAATTTGACCAAACTAGACTTCTGAACTTCTCCAGTATTTACTTTTACTTTGGTGATCTGATTCAGGATGTAGAGTCATACACTCTGTTATTTCTTGAGTCAAAATTTCCTCTACACCTTGTATTTTGCAGGTGGTGGCAAATTACCAAGCATAAGACTTGTGGGCCACTCACTACAATATTCAGTTGGGCAAGATGGGGACAGCACTGCATTTCTTCTTGGGCCTAGCAGTGCTGGGAGACTCCAGGGCTATACACAGGGTGATATGTGGCTCAATGATTTAATACAAAGTCAAGTTTTTCAGTCAACCACCCATGGTTAAAAGAGAATAATATTTCATCTCTAGTCTTTTCCTCAATGTGAGCTCTTCTGTAATCTCATTTCTCTGTGGAAACTTAAGTCATTCTTTTCATTTTCATTATTGTAATAGGACCTTGGAACTGTGGAAATGACCAGTTTCCTGAATGCAAACAAAAAGAATACTTCGTCATAGTCCCCCAGAGATATATGACTGAATTAACTGTGGAATTAGTATATATGGCTAGCATGTTGTGTTAAAACTTAAGCATTTTTCACTTTAGCTTCAGACCTTATAGAGGCAACAGATACCAGAATGACCCTCTCTGATATCTGAAACAGTTTTTCAAATTAGGACAACTGATAGAATCGGAATACGATCTGTGAGAGAAATGATACAATCGAGGTAAGTCTCATGATCACTTTGGTCTCTTCCTGAGGGCACTTTTGGGACTGCAGAATGGAGAGGAGAAAACCCAAAGAAGTACAGTATATTGAGATTTGAAGAGAGAAAAACAGAGTTCAGACTGTTAGATCAAATCGACAGGCTTTAGTAATAGAATAAAAGAGCATGAGAAAAATTCAACTAGAAATCAGCAGTGGGTTCTATCAAATCTTGAGAAAATATAAAGCCTTTATATATTTATGGCGACGCTTCACAAGATGAGGCCACCTATAAAAATCTGTAAAAGAGAAATTATCAGGGAATAAAGAACTACTAGAGACCAGGCAGTTAAACAATTCTAGGAGAACATGCAGGGCTGAGAGATATGAGACTTGACCAGTTGGATAGGGGCTGGAAAGCTGTAATTTGCTCCTACAGAACCACCTGTGAGCCTCCAAAAACTGCCAGGAGTCATCCCTTAGCACAGAGCCAGGAGAAAGTCCTCAGAAGAGACAAATATGACCCATCTCCCACCCACCTTCCAAAACAATAGTGTAGGCAAAAGAGACTTGTTTAACTTCCCGATTATTAAACGAAAACCCAAAGTAAGCTATGCCTTAGAAATGATTCAACCTGGCCTTAAAGAGTCACCAATTCTGCACCAAATATAAGAATAAGAAATACACATTTTTGTGTGTTTTGGGGCACACTTAGCGTTGTTCAGGTCTGGGCTCTGTGATCATCACTGCTGGCCACACTTTGGAGACTTTAGGGAGTGCCGGGGATTAAACCTGGGCCAGCTGTATGCAAGGCAAGCAAGCACCTTACCTACTATACATTCTCTCTGGCCCAAACAAAAATACACTTTTTTAAAAAAGTGGTAAATTTGGTGAAGTGATTGGAAATTGCTTTATCTTTTGTGGTTTTGATGAAAATGACTTCAACTTTATTACCGAGGTGCCGAAGACCCTCCACATTATTTCCATCAACCCTAGTTTGCTGTTCCCTTCTTCCTTCCTTACACTGCTTGGACCTCAGTTTTGAAAAGGCTGAATTTGTCCACATTCAATACTTTCTATTTCTTTGTTTCTCTATATAACCCAGTTTAGTGAGACCATTCAGTCTGATCATCCAGCATCTGCTCTTTTATCTTTGACTTTTAAATTTAACACGATGCTCTCCGCTTCTAAGTTGCAGTAAAATAGTCAGATCTCATCTTTTCTTACAACTGCATACCATTTCATTTTGTATATCTATCACAATTTTCTATATATTTACCTGTTATTAGACCTTTGGGTTGTTTCCCATGTTGTCATGATTATAGGCATGCATATATCTTCTCAAATTAACTATTTTGTGTACTTGGGCTAGTTGACAAGTAGTAGGATCACAGGGTCATAAGGAGTTCTAACCTTAGTTGCTTTGTTTTGATTTGGTTTTGCTACACCTGTTGATGCACAGGACTTATTCCTGGCACTGTGCTTAGAGATGACTCTTGGCAGGGCTCAGGACACTATATATGAGCGCTGAAGATTGAACCCAGGCTGGCCACAAGCAAGGTAAGTACCCTACCCTCTGTACTATTCCTCTGGTCCACTTTATTCTTATTTTTCAAAGAAATATCCAAACTTTTATTATAAAGGCTGAATCAGCAACACTCCCACCAATGGTGAAAATTTTTATTCACACCCTTACCAACATTGGTTATTTATCTTTTGGATATATG